TATGTATGTATGTATGTATGTATGTATGTATGTATGTATGTATGTATGTATGTATGTATGTATGTATGTATGTATGTATGTATGTATGTATGTATGTATGTATGTATGTATGTATGTATGTATGTATGACTTTCTAATATAGGACCATATGTTTTTATTTTTCAATGTAGGACCCTTGGTCATTATCTATTAGTCATTATCAACTAAATGTTCAACACCACTTGGGCATTATTTTTCTCACTAGTCATTATTAAGTCTCATTTAGAAAATAAAAAAGTTTAAGTCCTACATTGGAAAATGACTTATGTTTTACTCTTATCAAGTGCAAATTTCACTATATATATATATACGCTCAAAAGAATATGTTAATATATAGATATTAAAGTTTGTGACTTAAATAATATTGAAACATATTATTATTTTTTATTGACTATATATATTTCATCATCAAAATTTGCTAAAATAATTAATACCCTTAGTGTCACTCTTAACCTTACATAAAATTTAATCTTTTTTCTAAAAACAAACAGAGTAAAGTAAAAACATAATGTACTTTAGAGATATTTATCTCTACCTGTGTTTGATGACACCATTTGCATTCAAACATACTCTCTCCGTCCCGGACAACATGGTGTTTTGATTTTGAAGAAGGATTTAAGAGGAATATATTTTGGTATTGAATTTTCAAAAATGTCTTTTGATGTGATAGGTAAAAGTATGATTTGATGGATAGACTATTAGTAAAAAGGTATGATGTGATAGGTAGGGTATGAAAAAGTAAGGGGTAAAAGTGACTTTTTAATAGAAATGAGAAGTGTTTTTTGGGACAGATGAAAAAAGAAAGGAGAAAGGTTTTCAGGGATGGAGGGAGTATAAAGTAACGTAAATAAATTTAAAAAATTAATGAGAAACAATAATAGTCAGTATCATGCATCATAATAAAACATTCATAAGCAAATTCGTAAGAGATGGTTAGCTTGAGAGAGAAGGGAACATAGAGCACTAATAGAATACCTTACTCTCACGGGACGAACTCTGTCAATAAAACTAAAAATAACAAATAAGAATTTTTTTGTATTTTCATATAGATAATATAAAAAATTTAGTAAAAAAGGGTTCATGTGAAACCCTTTTTCTGTCCTCACCACAAAAATAAATTTAATAAATACTCACTTAAAATAACAACTAGGATATTATTTACTTGAGATATATGTTAAACCCTTTTTCTGGTCTAACTCAAACAAGGGAAGAAAATATCCAATTTTCGTCGATTTAAAATGCCACAAGGATGCAGCATCTCAATTTCAATATAAAAATTAAAAATTTATATACTTGAATTTATTTACCCAAAACTTATATATTCCTGAATGACGTGATGAGTTGACGAAAAACTGAATAATTCATTTGGATATATTTTGATAATAATTGGTCTTATTGAATAATTAAGGATACATCCATATATATAGAAATTATAAGAGAGAATTCTAATCTAAGTAGGGGAAGAATTGTAGTAACCACACAATAAGGAAAGTAATAAATAACAATAATATTCTATCTTCTAATACATCTATTATTCCTAATATTCCCCCGCAAGCGGATCATCAGTAAAGAGGAGCAGCTTGGAACACATGTACTAGAATTGAGCCACTGAAAGTAGTTTTGTGAGGATATCCTCCACAAGTAGAGAGTGAGATCTTTGTTGCACGACGAGCAAGTTTGAAATTACGTTTTACTGAGTTTTTTCCGGTGAGAGTGTTGGCAATTGGAGCAAGGGATGCTGAGAGGAGTATCTTTTTTCTCCTTTTGGGTCATTTTCTACTTCTCTTTCGCTTTCCATGCTCTCGATCTCTAAAAAAAGAAATAGACAAATGTAACTTTCCCTTCCTTCGGTCACGCACATGATTTTTTAGAAGAGAGAGAGATAATCGATTTTTTGGAAAGAAAGAGAGAGATAGACGGCGGCTATTAAACACACTCGTCGAGATCAGTCGGTGATGCCATGCTGTTGGACGGTTGACTACCATGAACAGAGACTGGCGATGTGCTCAGTCGAAAAAGAAAGGGCTAGGTTTTTGAGAACCTTAGCTCTGATACCATGATACTGTTTGATAATAATTGGTCTTATTGAATAATGAAGGATATGTCTCTATATACATGGATTACAATAGAGAATTCTAATCTAAGTAGGAAAGTAATAAATAATAATAATCTATTTTCTAATACACCTATTATTCCTAATACATTTAAGTAGTGAATATCAAACATTACTTCAAAATATATCCACTCATTGTCCATTTTCATGCAGAAAACATATGAGATCTGGCTTGTAGTAATTCAGATCTATAGATCTTATGGCGAAAAGTATAAAAATATCACAAAAACACCAAATAATATAATGTTTAAAAATCATCATTGTGAATATGTGAAAACTTCATATCAATGATCATCGAGCCTGTATCTCCTCTCTCGAGCTATTCTCTAAAGTTGGATTTAATAATTTAAATTATGATCCTCGATTGAACGAACCAAAAAACTAAGTAATCTGACGGTGAAAACAAATGATCAGAAACTGGATAATTAAGAAACATCGACAAGATGGAGATTTAATTTGAATACGAGACTAAAGTCATGAATATGAAGTTTGGGGGAGGATGAGAGAAAGACAACGGATGAAACGAAAATCTAGCGACTGAGATGTGAGGCGTAAATTGGAGACAATGGAAGTGTCGACAGATATGTGAGCATATTGCCTAACTTTAGGCTGAACGATATATAGAGTATTACTTTAATATATAGGTCCGCAGACTTCTGCTTTCGTTCTGTTGATTTTTGGTAATCCCCTGACTGCTCCTGAATTTGATGGCGTGACCAGGTCTTTGTAGTTAAGATGCCCAAGACGGTAGTGCCAGAGCTTTGCATCCTTTTCACTTGCAGAGAAGCACAATACGTTTGGTGTTACTTTATAACAGTTATCTGCTGTTCTATCACCTTCAAGCACAACTTGCTTGCTTTTATCTCTCACTTTGCATGTTTGCTGTGTGAAAAATACCTCGAGTCCTTGATCACATATCTGACTAATGCTAAGCAGATTTACCTGTAACCCCTGAACTAACCACACATTTTTAATAGGTGGCAGTCATGTTACATTGAGCATGCCGCTGCTTACTATTTTACCATGTGCTCCACCACCGAATCTGACACTTCCTTGTTCATTGGGTTTCAGATCCATGAGATTTTCTTTGTCACCTGTCATATGATGTGAACAACCACTCTCAAGAAGCCATTGATCTGGAGTAACCCTATAACACGTATTTGCAACCAATGCATATTGTTTGGGTATCCAAATCTGTTTGTATTTTCTTTTTGGAATGATCTGCTTGTCCATTTCTTGATGCACTGTCGTTTTACATGTCCCCATTCTCTGCATTTGTAACATCTGTAGTAGATGTGGTTGTTGTTACGGGTGTTATTCAGGTGACTTCTCTTGTCTTGGTGTTCAGATAGTGCTTCCTCAATTGCTTTGACAAACTTGATCTCTTGAGATTTTGAGATCCTTCCAGTATTAGTGAATCCGATACAGGTCATGTCTCCTAGAAGCTTTGCCATAAGTGCGTGATGATCTAACACATCGGCTCCTGCTACCTTAATCCATTTCTGATAGGATTTCAGTTGGTTGAATTCATAGAGCAAGTTTGAGTTTTCTCCTTCCAGTTCGTAGATCTTGCGGTTTGACTCTTCAATCTTCTGCTTAAGTGCATCCATTTCAGAAAGTAATCTGTTTTTGTCTGCCACATTTCGCTTGTTCACCATCAGCAGTTCCGCCCATTTTTCTTGTAAATCTTCAAGTTGTTCTACAAGACTGTCTTCTACATCTGAATTTTCACAGGCAATAAAAGCACAATTGTACTCACCATGATCATTGTGTTTTTTTATTTCTTCATCACTCCAGGTTGATGTGAATGCCTGTCTCTTTTTCTTCAGATTATTAGCACATTCAGATTGAATGTGTCCATATCCACCACATTCAAAGCATTGTGGTCACTTTTTCTTCATAGAATTAATGCTGTCTGGATATTTCATTTCTCTGGGCTTGATGTCTCTCTGCAAGGGTCCCTTGGATGTTCCTTCCATTCTTTGATTTCCTTTCTTCTGCATCCATTGTTTTTTGAACTACCGTGTGAAGAGTGATAGCTGTTCCTGAAAGTCTTCATCTAGTGACAGATCATGTTCACTGTCATCTTCTGCCTCAGTGCTAGAAAATGCAATTTGCTTGTCTGGCTTACGTCGTTTACTGTCTTCCGTCATATCAAGTTCAATTGACTCCAATATTCCCATAAGTGCATCAAGAGTCATGGTTTTGATATTGTGAGACCTTCTGATCGCCTTGACGTCCATGTCATATTCCTTTGGCAATGACCGCAACACTTTGAGTACCAGCTTATTTTCGGGGATGGGTTCATTTAGACGTGCAGCCTGATTTGCAATGTCTCTCACTCTACCATGGAATTCTGTGATTTTCTCTTTATCATCCATGCGCAGATTCTCATATTGTGTCATGAGAATTTGATACTTGGCTGTTTTTACTTCCTCATCTCCTTCATGCGTGATATCGAGAACATCCCAAGCTTCTTTGGCATTGTTACAGTTTGAGATGAGTTTGTACTGTGTAGAATCAACTGCTCCAAAAATTGCATCCAAGGCTTTGTCATTGAACTCCGCAGCAATCACTTCTGCTCTGCTATATTCTTCAAATGGTTTGATAGTCGATGAGGTCAGATCTTCTGAGTATTTTCGTGGTTCCGTCCAGCCTATCTCCACACTCCTCCAAACACCACCTCCAAGAGATTTTGGAAAAGCTCTCATTCGGCCTTTCCAAAAATTGTAGTTATGTCCGCGTAGCAAAGGTGGCCTTTGAACATTTGCACCTTCTTCCATGTCTCCCATGATATGATCAAGACCTAGTGACTTAAGTTGTTCTAGCTCTGATACCAATTGAAATTTCTAAGGGATATATTACATGTAAGATTCTTGAAACAGATCTCACAGACAGATACACACGATTCAACCAATGAAAAAGAACGAGTTAAAACACAGAAGCAAACACACACACAGAATAGAGCAATAAATGACACAGATTTGTTCACGCAGTTCGGAGCGAATTCTCCTACGTCTGCGAGGCCCACGTCCGTGTAACAGTCCTCCACTAGATCATAGTAAAAGTTTATACAGATCAACAACAATATGTCTCATAAAGTTTTGATTGAATAAGCTTACTATCGACCTCGAGTGACCAACTCTGTTTGCACTCGTCTCTTTGGCTTGTTACACCCTTTCTAGGTATCTTCCAAAGACGTGTTAGGCAGCCTTGTATCCAGGTCAACTCAGTACTCAACTCCTGGAAATTCTTGATAATACATAATCATGAATCGTATGCAGGTATAGTAGAATCATATGATTGATCTCATGATGTGTATCTCACACGCCAAGATGATGAATTGTGCGTGAACAACTGTATATTTTTCTCTCTGTCCTCTCAAGGCCTTGGTATGTGTTTATATATGTGCGCAACCCTGACCTTCTGCGAATATAACTCTCCCATGTGCTAGACAGTCCAAGATCCGTAAAACACGGTGGTTCAGTGGGTTTCTTCGAGATACACAAAGTCTTGTAGGGCATGATAGTCTTCGCCAATCCATCTCTTGAGAGCAACGACCTCTTGTGGAGTCCTCGTCTTGTAGAGTCCTTGTTACTGCAGGTTTGTAGTGCATACAGGAAGGATGACCAAGAGCCAACACACACTACAACATCTACAATGACACTGACCTAGTGTTTGTGTGTTGTCAAAAATACTGCCAACATTTAACAAGAGGTTACACAATGACATATCTAACACCGAAGTCATGTTTTCCTATTTCCAAAAAACACTATCACTTTTTATTAAATTACTTTTTATTAAAGTAATAAATTTACCCTTTCAGATGTGTTAAGCAAGGTGATAAAAATGTTTGGCGAAATCTATTTATAAATTTACCCTCGATCACATGAAATTTTACATCCCAAAATTTGCAGTATCCTAAGACACATCATTCCATGAATATGAATTTCTCTTTAGCTTCAAAGTCTAGAAACGGTGCAACGGGGCATTGTCCAAGTACCAACATGGGTCATTTGTCAAAGAAGTACAAAAGTATAGGTGTTACTTTCGGTAATCACTTTCTAACTTTCTTTGTTCTTTCCCTTGAATTTTATTATTCTTTATTCTCAATCGCTTGCTAAATTACAACGTTATATGACATACAGAGAAATCGATAGTTAGGCGGAAGTAAATGATTTTCATGAACAAGGAAAACATGATGTTTCTTGTTCCCAATATCGGCATACACCAGAGTCGTCAATATGGATTTCTCTTTACAGTCAACGTCCACCTATGGTACACCAAGGCGTAATCAAAAGACGAACAATGGACAAGTGCCAAAAACATACAAAAGTAGACGTGTTAATTTAGGTTAGACATCACCAACCATTTTTTGAAGTTCTCTTTGTCATTCTTAAATTAGGTTTATTTGGTCTAATCTATCTAATGTGAATTATATCCTTCAGAGAATTGTGTGGCTAAGGAGTTGAATGAGGAGTGGCGTGAAGAAGTAAAATGTCATGCATGCTCAAACGACAATGCTTTTGGGTTCTCATCCTCTCTAACCATTTTTAATTATGTTGGTTTTGTTTTTTCCGATATACATCTTGCTAAAATCATACCGTGATTTTTAATATTTTTTAAAAATTTTATTTCAAAAATCAAGATTTAGATAAATACTCTTCCTCTACGGGTAAGAGTCTATTGAAAGAAAAAGGAGAAAGGAAGAAAAACAATATGTGAAAAGAAAAAATTACTCTCTCCGTCCCCCTAAGATCTTCTCATTTTGACTTTTTGTGGTTTTTAAAGAAAGTTGAAAAATGATGAAAGTTTACCATAATACCCTTAATGAAAATGAGTGGAGTGTATTAAATGAGGTAGGTGAAGTGTAATAAATAAAGTAAGTGAAGGTAGTTGTGGTATTTTAATTATTGAAAAAGATAATGAAAAAATTTATAATGTACAAATAAAAAAGGCTAATGAGAAAAGTAGGGAGAAACAACTGATAAATTCTTCGCAGACGGGATCACGGGAAAGAGGCGAATCAAATCATACCCCTCTGTGCTTCAAAAAAAAATAAAAAAATCATACCCCTCTGGCCTAATACCAACCCTAATACGAAATCCAGCGCCGTGGTGCCTGCCCTCCACGGCTCCACCCCTTCCGCAGAAAGAAAACATAAACATAAAAAGCCTATAAACTCATGCAACCAGACTCCAGAACTCATCTTCGCCGAATTCTCACAGCCGATTAGAGGCGGCGGTTTCATTCCACCTTTCGGCGATACTGCTGCCCTTCACTAGAGGCCGCGTCCACGTTTCATATCCTGCTGTGCTTTAGGAAATGAGAGAATCTCAGTATGGGATACCGCCCAGACAAATCCCTCCACACCCTGCTATCCTAGAGGATCATCTTGCAGCTCAGCATGAGGAGATCCAAAGATTACTGCTTGATAATCAGAGGTTTTCTGCAACTCATGTAGCACTCAAGGAGGAACTTGAAGTCACACAATTTGATCTTCAGCGCACGGACCAATATGCCCGCGCCTTATATGAAGAGAATGGCATGCAGATAAGAGAACTTCATGAAAAGTCTGTAAAGATGGAGATGGATCTCCAATCTGTAGAAATCATGAGGGTTGAGCTTATGCGAGTGCGTGCCGATATTAAAGATTTAAATGTTGCAAAACAGGAGCTCACAACTGAGATCCAGGGGATGACTCAAGATCTGACAAGGATGAATGCGGATTTGCAACAAACTCCAGCTATTAAAGCTGAAATTGAAAATTTTAGACAGGAATTGCAGCGATCAAGGTATCTGACTGAATGTTTCTTTTGTCCAGTGTCAATTGGTTTATGTACTTCATGATTTCTTGATAAGTGCACCTCAATTTTTCATTCATATAGGGCTGCCATTGAGAATGAGAAGAAAGGATATGCTGCAAACTATGAACATGGTCAGCTAATTCAGAATAAACTGCTCTCAATGTCTAGAGAACTGGAAAAGCTCCGTGCAGAGATGGCTAATGCAGAAAAGAAAGCTCGTGCTGCAGCTGCAGCTGCAGTAGGGAATCAAGGTATTTATTTTATCCAGGGCTCTGCCAACCCATACATAATGACATCAATTGCATGAGCTGTTGTAGTTCTTTAATGTCTATTGGATTTGGCATTGTGAATTATTAGCAGAAAAAAATAACAATCTCCAAACGGGCAAACACTATATTTTTGTTTACATAGATGGTTGATATGAGCCTTGTTTCTACTCAAGTATAATTTTTATTAAACAAACAATAATTCATTTATCAGTAGTTCCAGAGCATGAAAAAGAAACTCTGCCTCAAAATCAGTTAAAAATGTGAGAAAATCAATCCATAGATTATCAATCCTTTGTCCTATTTTCGGATGTCCTGCTCAAAACTCATATGTTGAAGCAAGACTGAAACTCTTCTCAATTTGATTTCTGTAATCACCAAATCAAACGTTGTTACATACTCATATTTCCCACTAAAAGTATAATATGAAGAGGGTGAGATGTGTGCAAATGTTACCCTAAGCACTAGTAGTACAAATTCTTTTTCATGGCTATTCCTGTGAAGACTGCTTGCAAAAGAAAATTTTGTGAAGTAAAAAATTCCTGAAATGTTTAAATATTTTTGTAAAATTTTGAACTAGAAAAATAGCCGTCTAAAGGTGAAAGGAAGTGTGAATGGTGTAGTAAAAACATTGTCGGGAAATAGTATGAATCAATACAATCGTGTTAAACATCAAAATGATAGTACAGTAAAACACATGTAGGCAGGTTATGTTGGGGTATCTATGAATAGTGAACCACAACCAAACAAGAACACACACAAAACTGAAATCAAAACGGAGAAAACAGAACACAAGATTTGTTGTGGTTCGGTTGACTGACCTAAATCCACTTTGCAAGTAGGGTTTTTATTATTGAGGTGCTCGCAGAATTACAAGTACATAGATTGCTATTTATGAAGACTAAACTAGGGTTAAAAACTTAATCCTCAAGTTAGGCCCAAGCCCACATAGAGAATTAGGGCTGGCTAAATTAAAAACCTAATTGACTGCCCATATGGGTCGAACAAAGACTAGGGCCGGCTTCCCTTCTTGGTTGAGCCTCCACACTCAATTTGCCCAACAATCTCTGTCTTGGAGGCTTGAACAACGCCCCTTAGTCTTCATCATCTGTAGCTCTTGTAATCTTCGTTTACCACTAGTTGCAGCGGCCTTCTCTTTTGTTATCTGAAGGCCCGTTGAAGCTCCTAGTGAGCTTCAACTCATCAGTCACAACTCATGACTCGTTCTCTTTCTCTGCCAGCTCCAAGTGTGACACATTTATCACTCTCATGGATTCTGAGACAAACTAAGAACCTACATTCTCCAAACCATGCAAATAATTAACATGAGAAACTTTCAATGTCGGAATACTGGTTTTCGTAACCCACTGTCGAACTAGGACTGAAGCACGACCTGTGCTCCCACTGTCACAAAATTCCACTGGTTGAATCTGGACTCTTTCTCTGGGTTTCTCCATTGCCAAGGTAACCCTCTTTTGCACACGAGATTCTTTGAACCGGACCTTTTCTTTTACCAAAACTGGACTTGCTCCTTCTGGAGGCATCTCGACCATTTATAGCGAACCCCTTTTCTTGCCACAAGCAACAACAAGATTTCCTTTGACCACCTTCCACTGTCCACTACCAAATTTAACGTCAAGACCCAAATCATCCAACTGCCCAACTGAGATAAGCATCCTCTTCAAGCTTGGAATGACTGACGTTGTCCAGGTGGCTCCAAATGAAGTTTTCAAGTCAATATATCCCCCATGCCCGTAACATTTTAAATTTAATTGTTACCAAGTCGTACTTTACCAAAGTCCCCAATCTTCAGATTCTGCATCATCTTCATGCTATGTGTGGCATGAATAGATGTACCAAAATCCATCACCCAGGAATCTATACTATCTATGCGACAGATTAACAAATCGTCACTATTGTTTGAGCAGCTTTCTGTAGTATTCACTTCCTTTTTACCATTTGGACACTGACTTCTAAAATGTCCCGTCTATTTGCAATCTCAACAAACAATTCCTTCTCGATGCTTGGACTGACTCTTGCCTCTACCACGGTTGCTTCCTCTTTCATTCCTTCTTCCTCTACCTTCAGTACTCAACAATGCACTCAAAGAATCCCCTGAACTTCTGCGTCTGATGTCTTCACCTAGAATCAAGTCCCGAATTCCTTCAAAAGTAAACTTAGTAGTACCAGATGCACTACTAACTGCAGTCACTGTTCCAGACCAACTATCATCCAAAGAAGATAAAAGCAGCAACGCCTGAAGTTCATCATCATACTTAATTCCAACTGATCCTAACCGAATTATCACGGAATTAAACTGGTTGATATGAATGTTAACTGAAGCACCCTCCCTTATTCTGGTGTTAACCAACTGTTTGATAAAAAACACTTTGTTCAATGCTGAGGGTTTCTCGTACATATTCGACAAAGCTTTCATTAACCCATGTGTAGTCGTTTCATTGACTATGTTGAAAGCAACACTCTTCGCCAACGACAACATGACCACTCCCAAAGCTTTCCTGTCCAAAATCGCCCAATATGCATCACTCATCTTTTTTTGCTTTTCTTCCGATAACGTTTGGTATAAGTCTTTCTGATAAAGAACATCCTCGATTTGCATCTTCCAAAACCTGAAATCACTTCCATCAAACTTTTCAATCTTTGTCTTTTTATCTGCCATTGTTTCCATACATGGCTCAAAAACTGATCTGAGATTGGAAAACCAATAACGAACTAACCTTTTGGCAGCAGCTAATCAGAACCCTAGCGGTGGCGGCTAAACAAAACCCTAGCGGTGCTGGATGTTCACAGTGGCGGTGTGGTTACTGTTCACAAGACAGTACAAACCATATTCTTTAGCGGAAACTACGACGGTGGTTGAACTGATCTTCAAACCCTTTGAAACCCTAACTTTCGATTTGAACCTGATCTCCACGAACCCGACGGAAGACTTCAACGATCACGAGCCTAAGGCTCCGATACCAGTTTTTGGGGTATCTGTGAATAGCAAACCACAACTAAACAAGAACACACAAAACTGAAATCAAAACGGAGAAAACGGAACACAAGATATATAGTGGTTCTGTTGGCTGACCTAAATTCACTTTGCAACTAGGGTTTTTATTATTCAGGTGCTCACGGAATTACAAGTACCGAGATCACTATTTATGAAGACTAAACTAGGGTTCAAAACTTAATCCCCTAGTTAGGCCCAAGCCCACATAGAGAATTAGGGCCGGCTAAATTAAAAACCTAATTGACTGCCCATATGGGCCGAACGGAGACTAGGGCCGGCTGCCCTTCTTGGTCGAGCCTCCACACTCAATTCGCCCAACAGGTTAGTAAGCAAGATATTAGCTAATGGGTATACAATATACCTCTAACTTAGGGCCAATGGTGCCCCCAATCCCACAGAATCATAGACTACAAACGTGTTTTTCTTTTGTAACTCTTTTATATAAGTATATACAATTATACATTTCTATTATATGGAGCTTACGTGAAAAGTAGTATGAAGTTTCACAGCCAAATTCAAAATTGCTTATAAATGTTAAATAAAAAAAGTCAATGAAAGAGGAATGTAGTTGACCAATAAATCACAAAAAAGACTAACTGGACGTGAGCAACTTGGAAACTGCAATTGTATTTTCTAGGTCTAACTCAAATTTTAGAAATCAATAACAAAGATGATTGAAATTATAGAATTCATTTTGAAACCATAAAGGGACAAGGACTACCCAAGAAGGGTGCTTGTTTCTATTGCTGGCCTATGCTCTATTATTGTTTGAGAAACAATTCATAGTTGTGAAAAGCATGCCTGAGGGGCTTTGAACACGAGGAGCAAAGCTTTGTGCATTGTCCCCCATGATGCGTGCGCATAGCAGCCATAGCTGCACACCTTAGGATTTTTTTAAAGTCTAACTTTGGGGTTGACGCTCCAGGCTCAACCTTCTAAGCCACATCATAATGTTAGGATTGTCAGGGAGGCTCAATCCACATCAAAATATTAGTTTTTTTTAAGTTTACGGTTTAAGTTTAGGGTTGACGCTCCAGGCTGGCAGGCTCAACATTTTAAGCGACTCTTCCGCCTCTCTGATTCGACCTTTCAACATCGAAGAAATCTCACATGTCCCAGAGCTCTCTGCTTCGACCTTCTCTGATGGACTTCTCTCCTAGTTTCTTCTGCTTCGACTCTCAATCTTGCTTGTCGGATTTTTTTGCAGGTTTTTTCCTTCTCTTATTATTGGAGCTATCAGTTATCTTTCTTTTTTTTTTCTAGCAGATTTTTTCCTTTATTTCAGGTACCTTTATTTCAGGTATTTTTTATTTTGAGTGGTGATGAATACCCTTTTCACTTTTCAGTTTAGTTCCAGTATGGAAGCTTTACCAGTTTTTTTGTTCTTTGTATTTTTTTTATTTGTCAATGATTTATGGCATCGGTACTATGTGTGACATTGATTCTTGGTTGCTTTCTAAAAGTTTTTTATGTTTTTCAAAATTTTATACTCCGTTTGTATTATCTCTAATTTAGAGATGCTATGCTACTTGTGCCTCAATCTGCAGCTCATGTTTGTGATGCGCACGCCTCAATTGCCTGTTTTTGGGTTTATAATTTTTGAAGTTACATGACCCATGTTATATGATAAGCGAAAACTACTCATACTTTTACTAATCATGTTGATTTTGAAAACTTTCAACATAAAACTGAAAACCAGATTGTCTAGCTTACACAATCTAGTTTCTATTTTTTTAAGAGTAGCTCCCAACCATCCAGATTGGTGTCAAGTTATGAGGCAAATCGGCAATTTGTTGGTTGAATAAACACATTGCAGCAATAACAACAAGTATAATCCAACTCTGTTGGTGTCTACAATCAAGAGGTATGCAACCTTACTGAAGGTGCAGCACCACCCAAAGTTTTGGAAAAAGCATGGAGGGGGAGTTTATTGTACCAAAGGGAAGTTTAATGTGCCATTTAATTTAGTCCATCAAGCCATCAATCATCCAAAGCTAAAACATTATAAAAAGGGACTCTTTTAGCTCTATCAGCAACAATAATAATCACATTGCTACAGTAACAAAAATAAAAATAATAGTGCAATATCTAATATATGCACTTGATGACTATGATAAGATGTGTTTAATGGCCATATTAGGTCCTGTATGTTGAAGTTTATGAGTTAATATTGTTATGAATCCTATGCATTTGGTAGCATAACCCTTTAAATTTTTTATTTATTAGAGTCAATAATTGTATTAAATGCATCTTTGCGTACACATTTTATGGAAGTTATACATTATTAGTAGTTTTTATATTTCAATTTGCCTTTAAGGTAGTGTTTGGGAACTAGAATTCATTTGAAATCTTAGATTTCAATTCCAACATTTGAAATTTCATAATTTCAAATTTCACAATGCTGTTTGGGAAGTCATATAATTTCAATTCTTGAATTTGAATTTTGAAGTCGGCAAAGACGGTAACGGAAGCGGATTTATATGTATGGAATTGTTATTATATAAGAGAAGATCACTTTTTAATTACAAGTTTTAAATTAAAGAAAAAAAAACCATCAATGCATAACATGGACCAGTTTTTGTGATACAAAAGATTTCTGCTCTTTGTGATTTGTTGCTAAACTCTATCAAAATATGGACCAATTTTTTTAGACAGCTGTTTCCATTTCAGCCACAACTATACCAAAATTGCCTTTTGCAATTATTCTCATCCTTGGCTTGCTTCATGTAGTCAAACACTTGCATCAGCATAATAATTCATTTAATGCAATGAAAAATAATTGCTCAACAATATTCTTGGATTTATTTTATCAAAATTATGTATTAGCATTTTTTATAAATAAAATTCCCTATAACAAATATGCTTTCATATTGAACAACAGTTATAGCGTATATCATTATATCCTCAAATTGATTGGTGTTTTTGAACGATTCATAGATTTTGTAAACGAATTTGGAAGTCCATGTTTTGCATCCGTGGTGACTTTTCTTTCATGCATGAGCTTTAAATGCCTTGGGAAAAAATATGGTGTGGTTTGTTCTTGCTTGACATTGCTCTATTTTCCACAGTTGCTGCTTATAACACAAACTATGCTAATCCAGAGTCAGCAGGCTATGGTGGAAATTATTACTCTGGTGGTTATGGCTTGAACCCCACAAATTCTGTGCATCCCGTTACTGTGCAGGTATACATTTTGGCTTGTCTCTAATGAAAAGGTTTGCTAAAGTTAGAATGGAATGATCATTAAATAACTTCTTTAGCAAGATGGACCTTAAAATCCTGTGATCTATGAGGACCCATTTTTTTCTTATTCTTAAGAATGTTAAGATTTGCACAAGAACATGTTATTGAATGGTTATGTCATAAAACTCCTTTTGAAACATTGGTTCTCGGTTCTTTTGATATAATCAAATTGTTTTATTGGTTTATGAGCTTTACTTTTATTTTCAGTCGCAGGCCGGAGCTGAAGGTTACTCTCAATATGGACCTGGGCAGACTCCCTGGGGTGCATATAATATGCAACAAGCTCAAGGTCACAGATAAACTAGTTCATTCTAGATTGCAGCCATGTTTACCATTCTCCTACTCTTCTTACTTGAACTTTATACTTGACACTAGAAACTTGTGAAGTTCATTCTGGGGTACACTCTATGTGGTTGAAAAATGGCGTCGTGTCTGTTTATGTTGGTTTCCCTGTATAACACTCTGCACAATCAGTTGTACCTATATTTAATCAGTTTTATAAATTACTAGTATCACACCCGTGCGTTGCACGGGTTATATTTACGTTATAAAATTATATTGATGTCATTATTGAAAAATAAAAATAGACTACATAATGAAATATAAAACTCTAGAATTTCAAATGAATTACAAATTTTAAAAAATTTCTTTATAAACTACATTGGTACTCATGAACTTTTGCTTGCAACATCATTTTTTTTGTTAAATGCAACAAAGTGATATATATCCAAATGTAGAAAGAATTAATTGTTGAATTAGTAATTATCTCATCTGTTTCATTTTAGGATTACTGGCAATATTTAACGAAAATTCCCCCAAACACAATTACTTTTAATCCGAATGTTTGATTTTTATTCATTGGATTGAAAAATCATAGAATATTACACACACCTCTATCTAAAGCTTCAAAACAATACTTATATATCATTAGTGCTTCATCCCAATAAAATTAACTTGGTAGTAGAGTTTTTTGCTTTATGTAGCAAGTTGAGTTTGCATCTGAGTTTAACAAAATTTTTAAACGTAAATGAGTTGTTCTTTCACATGGCAAAAGTAATGATGATATTCTAATGATGTGACATTCAATATTACTCCCTCTGTTTGCAAATAAACTTCCTGTTACGCGTTACGATGTTTGATTGAAGTTATTTTTAAAACATTTTATATGAAAAATGGTGTGAAATTTTAAAATAAAAATTACATATTAAAAAATTATTTCAAAAGATTTACAAAACTAGAGGTGACATGACTATATTATTTTTTCAAATGGGTAACGAAAATAACCCAATAAAATAAATAAAGTTTGACCTTGTCAATATTGAACGAGAAGTTTATTTCACTACAAAAAAACTACTCCGTACTACGTAACTTTTTGTGGTAAAGTTTTAGTAGCAAATTAAATATTGCCACAATATACAAATAAGCTATATGTACTTGTAGCAATTAACAATTTGCCACAAAATAATGCACATATTGTGGCAAATTTGTAGAATTGCTACTACACATAAATAATTGATTGCCTGATGCTAGTAAAATAGTACGGAGAAAATAGATTCATTAAATTTATAATAAATGTATATTTTTTGAGTAGTTATATGTTTTATCATCCATTAATTTATTAATTTAAAAGAAAATAAATTAGAAACGCATCCCTAAAAATATTAACGTAGAAGAGCAGACTTCACCGATCGATAGAGCCAATTCTCTTTTTCTTCGTCTTCAACCTAGAACTGAGAGGGACGGACACACACATAGAGATTCACGACCAGGGAAGGGGGCCATCGGGATAGGTTCTGGCAGGAAGCAGACGCAACAAGGATTAACAACGATAGTCTGGAGCAGTTACTTAAGCCAATTCAGCGAAAAATAAAAAATTATCTAGCGTCAAAGCTAAGGTTAATTTCGAGGGTATAAGTTCAAATTTGTTGTTTTTCTTCACCTTAATATTCCTAGATGTTTAATGTTTGTTGCGTTTTTCCTTGTTTTCATTGAGTATTCTCTTATTTTATCATCTGTGTGCATATTCTAGGGATTTCACAAATTTGAAGTTGAAGGTTTGATTTATTCAATATTAATTTACAAATGTGTTGATTCCAAATGATTTTGTATGTATCTTGTATAAAGATTTCATATTTTGATCTGAATATATCCTTTTAACTTATGATTCATTTCTGCTGGATGACATCGTAGAAATAAATATCCCTTGGCTGAGTGGTAATCTATTTATAATGCCTGATTGATTAATTATTTTCCTAAAAAAATAACAATTATTTATTTAATTCATTACCAAATGGTGAAAGTATTAGAATAGCTTTAATGGTGAAACTTTTATTAACTTTCAGTTAAATTTTTCTCTGAAGTTTGTTCTCACTTTTTTTGTATTAGAATCATGGATAAAGACATGATTCACTTCTATTGGGTAAGGCCAATCACCAGTTTATGTTTGAATGTCTCCAACAAGGTAACTACCTCTATTCTTGTTTCTAGGGATGACCAGGTTCTGATAACTATACTAGAAGAGCTGCACATGGGCTTGTTATAAAATATAGCCTGACTAAGCCAACATCCAAAACCTTTTCTGATTCTAGTACATATGAATTGTTATGATGATTGTGATAATTCAATTGCTTGCCAGATAGTTTCTGCCTCAGCTATTGGGCTAGGGATGATTTTAATTCTTCAAAAAGTTTTGCTAACCCTGAAGCTGTAGAGATATTGTGTGAAACCTAAAACACTGATGACGCAACTGTTTTATCAAAAGGTGTTCTTGTTTCTAATGAAGCTATTGCTGTTATACCTAAAGTTGTTATTTCTGATGAGTTTGTTACTACTTAATTTCTTTCCAATAAATCTACCAATGATATTCAAAGTGAAGGGGTTGTTGTTACTGAAACAATTCAAGGTAAAGGGGTTGCTCAAGATGCTCTTATATCAAATGTTGTTTCTTACTTTGAATAACTAAACCCTTAGTTCTTGTTCTTGATATAAATCAAGGAAAAGGGTTTGGTCAGGATCCTATTTTAGTCATGGAGCAATATCACTCCGCTGTTGAGGTTAATACTGCATTTGTTCTCGCTAAAATTGTTAAAGCTACCCCTATGGATAGAGAAATAATAGAAAAAGATGAAACAACTTCTGTGCCGCCCAATGCTAATGTCCTTACTAATTCTCTCAGCATTAATAAGACAGAGTCTCCACACTAAGCGTTTCATGGGAGGACTTTGGATGGCAACTTCGACCCCAAGGTTTTGGGAAAAAATGATTCTAGATCTGACGCTTTTACCTCTACTTTTGATATATAGGGTACACAAATCCATGAAGTATGCCAAACTAGCAGGGAAGTTTAACACAGCTTCTTATTGCATTATTCGGAATTCCCAAAGGAATTTATAATATTTGAGTGTGCACTTCACACTTCCACAAGAGAACATTCATTAGTAGAATGAATAAGTGATTTTTGCAACATGAAAATGGTTTGAGAAATCTAATTATAGCTAGGATGGAACACTTAGAGGGAATTAATTAGTGGATGGAAGATTCATCAAAAGAATGCATAGAAATTATTTATAGGATGAAACATTAGGTATTAGAACAGTTTCTTTAAGATATAGTTGAGGTATGTGTAGTGGTTTATGCATTTTCTTTTATTTTCAGCATGCCATGCATTTCTTTTTCATATGGTTAATAATATTTTTCATGCTATATTAAGTCCTTGGCTATCTGCAAGATCAGTCATCTTATATATGGCCTCTTTTGTTCACAATGAAGGACTCAACAAGGACAAGGAAAGATCAAGAGGCTATTTTTGAAGGCAAGAAACACATACTTGCAAGTGACATTTTCCAAATAGTTCTTAGCCAAAGGTTTGAACAGAGTCCAAAGATACTTTTTTAAAAGGTAAGGAGCACATACTTCCAAATACTATTTTGTTAAGAAAAGTCGTATTTGATCAATTTGCTGCCGATGGGGATAATAAACATTTGTCGTTAAGGGTTGTTTTGATCTCTTTACTTTAAGACTGAAGATTTGTTAGAGGTTGATCTCTTTCAAGCTTAGAAAGCATTTGTAGTTGAGAGATTCTTTCGACAAAATTCTCGGCACCAAATCTAACAAAGTCCAATGTCCAGGACTTATTGGTCGGTATAATCTCCAAGTCCCAATTGTTCTTCAATTCCTTCTTAATTTATGTCCAATCTTATGCCTATGATTTATTTTTGTCTATTCTGTCTATGTATTACGGTTTGGACTAATTTGGATAAAGCTTTGGTTATATCAAATGTTTTAACTTACTTAGGTAGTAAGTTAATTATTGTTTGCTGATCTAAATTACCAGACATCTCCCCTCTTTCTTTTCATTGTTATATTTCATGCTTTTGAGATGATAGACGTAATGATAAATTCTGCAATCTATTTTTAGTTTTTTTACTTATAAACAAAAAGATGGAGACTCAGGTTCTGAATTTTTAATTCAAAGATTCCCTCTTTTGTCGATTACAAGTCGAAAAAAGAAATTGATGATTTTGTTAATCAACTCAAAGAAAGGGTATCTTAGTCCTTTCCTACACTTAGTCTCCTTGCCTTGGTCTATATTCAATAATGAAATCAGGCAAACACATACGAATAGAGGGAATATTATTTAAATTTCCATATATAGTAGCATGTTTCGTATGGTTAGTTCCTATACATTTGCCTTTATTTGACCTTAAGCATTGTGTTGAAATAATATATATAATCTTTATGCAATTTTGCTGCAGTATACACAATCTGGGTTGCTTATGCTCCTTTTAGAATTGGCACAGGGGACACACATGGAGAATTCTGATGAAGTGTATGTTGTTCTTGACTTACTTAGTCGAATGGTCTCCTTGAATGTGGTATTTGATTCTAAAAGCATTTTGTCTGTGTTGCGTTTATGTTTTTGAATTCCATTATTGTGTTCTTTTTTTCCAAACTTATCCAATTTTTCATTTTGGTTAAATAGACACTTCAAATGATATTCATGACCCATCAGTATGTCCCTATGTCCTTCTATTTTGTTTTGTCTTGAGTACTGTGATGGTTGTTATATATACTGTCTGTTATGCTCTCAAAGAATTTGACTAATTTATGTTCAATGTACTGTGTATAGAGTCTTGAATAGAGTCTTTTTGCACCTAATGCCATCATACAATGCTTTTTTTCCAGTGGATCATGGCTACTTTTGGACAACTTGCTAAAATGCTTATGATTGACTGTGATCAAAATGACCGTAGTTTACTCTTTCAGGCAAGTTCCTATGGAAGTCATTATTTTGAAGGGCATTAATAACTTTCAGCATATTATTTATGGAGTAAATACTATACTTCCATGTGTTGTGATACTCTCTGGTCATTTTATACAGTATTTAATTTGCTTTATATGTTCTCTGGTTGAATTGCTCTAGTCATTTACTAACTTATTTCTTTTATAAATTTTATTTTTTTCATTTGTAGATCAAGGCTCAATATGAGATATACCATTTAGTTTCCGCTTTGGATGGGAATTACAATCAAAATAGAAGTGACAAGATGAAATGATGAAGAGATGGAGCTTATTTAGATGAATATTAGAGGAAGCTTTTAGGATACTTTTTTCATAAAACATATTTATTATTACTATATTTATTTTATGTCAAAACCCTATTATATTAACAATTGTGAACCTTTGATTGTTTGGAATTGAATTATGAGTTTTATATGTTTTGTTTTTAACTTAGTATTTTATATTAGTTATTAATATTTTTTTACATCACGTTGCATATATCATTAAATGTAAAATGTATATGCAATACAAATAATTATAGTATTTATAATAATAATGATAATAATAATAATAGCCTATTATTATTATTATTATTATTATTATTATTATTATTATTATTATTATTATTATTATTATTATTATTATTATTATTATTATTATTATTATTATTATTATTATTATTATTATTATTATTATTATTATTATTATTATTATTATTATTATTATTATTATTATTATTATTATTATTATTATTATTATTATTATTATTATTATTAATTCTCACTAGTGTTAGGTTTGCCACAAAAAAGTGATAATTGTAGCAATTAAAATTTGCTACTAAACATGAATTTTTGTGGCAAAGTATTATTTGTGGCATCATAAATTTGCTACTAAATATGATGTTCTGTAGCAAATAATAAATTGTGGCAACTAAAATATGCCACAAAACATGAACTTTTGTGGCAAAGTTTTATTAGTGTCAAATCATAATTTGCCACAAAAACTATGACTTTTGTGGCAAATTTAAATTTGCCACAAAAACCTTTTGTAACGGGGTATCTGTGGCAAATTTCAAAATTGCTACAAATAGTTATTGTGGCTAATTTTTTATGTTTTGTGGCAAAATTTGGTGCCACAAATTGTCAAGTTTTTTGTAGTGTTTGTGGACGGAGGGAGTATATCATTTCTAGACTATATTGCAGCAAATAAAGTTTTAGAGACATATGTCTTGTAGAAATCGCCTTAAATAAGACTAGAACATAGAGAAAAATACCAAAATAAGACTTTCATGTTTTTATTTCCGAAATAAGATTTCACACTGTGGTAAAGTGGCATTGTACATGTGCACATTATTATACTTTTTGGTAATGTATAGACCATATTTTGTAAAGTAAAAGCCTATGTGGACCATGCTGGAGGAGATTAGAAAACTTGTTGGAAAAAGATTTGAAAAAAGGTTTGAACTGAGAAGGAAATAGTCTACTTTAGTCACCTCCTTTGTAGATAAAAAACTTAGGGAGCTACCAATGGACTCAAGAGTATGTTCAGAGGTTGTGGCTGCTGGTAGAGGGGAGTTTGATGTCCTTGATGGGTGCACAAATTTCACAGTGAGGTTAAGAAAGCATAGTTGTGACTGTAACATATGGCAAGTGATAAGCCTACCTTGTAAAGCATAGTTGTGCTGTTAGAGGACTATTGTGCACACTGGTTTTCAATTGAGAAATACAAGGGATTGTATGATGCTATTATACACCCTATCCTAGATCCTTGCATGTGGGGAGAGACTTCAGAACCCAAACTTGACCCTCTAAAAAACCTAAAGAAAAAGGAAAGACTTAAAAAAGCACAAGAGAAGAGATGAGATTGATGTCAGGGTCATAAAGCAGAAGAGGATGGTTCATGGAACAAAACGATGTGGGAAGTGCAAACAGCTAGGCCATAACCATAAAACTTGTTGTCAAAAGAGGGATGAAGATAGCAGATTGGTGCACAAACAGACAAGAAAGAAAAAAGTGGCCAAGAATGATTAGAAATGTTGAGATTGGGTGTGTTTGAAGACATGTTATTCATTGACTGTAATTTTGTTTTTGTTAGTTTAAATATGCCAAGAACATGTGTTGGCTTCTGTAACAGTTTTTGTCATTTTTGGTTTTGGCTTCTGAAATAGTTTTTGGAATGGTGGTAGTGGAGCTACACATTTTGGCATGAATTAAGCTAGGGGTACCCCATGTTGGTGTACCCCTAGCATTGCCCTTTTGGCATACCATACTCCAGATTTGTTTTTGTCAATTATGTTTTTCATTATATACTGGAGTGTTGGTTTGCAGATACTTCTTGCTCCAAATTTAGCAGACCATATATGGCATACAATTTGGCAGATACTTTCGTTGTTTAAAGAAACATTATTATTGTCACATTTGTAAACAGAAACATTGTGTACAAAACATTTTTCATTACTTCCATAGTACATCATACATTACAATTAAAAAACAGAAACTAGGCTTACATAACCAAGACACACACCTCCTTTACATAGACAAAACAGTCATAGGGATAAGGAGGACAAGTGCCACAGCCAAATCAAAGACAAAGGTTGAAATTCAATTCCTAGCCAAAGTCTTGTCTTCTAAAATTTACATAAACAACACAAAGAAAACATAATGGATGACAAGTCCTACACCCAAACCAAACATAAATGGGATGTGATAAGTCGATTTTGATTTGGTTCTTTTTATTCTTTTTTAGGCATTTTTAATATTTTTAAAGCTTAATTTATAGTTGTTTTGCTTAGTTTTATTTTAATTTTGATTTTTACAATCTTTTAAATTTCTTGCACAAATTGTAGTTTTTTTAATAACTTTTTTACATTTTGTTATTTTATTTTATTTTTCCTAACCCATATTATCAGATATCTTATTTTTGAAGAAAAATGTAACAAAAGGCTTGAACGCAATTCAAGTTTGAAAAGAATGATATTGAATTTGGGCCGGAGCCCAAACCCATATTGTCAAAAAGTAGCCACCCCATACCCATATTGTCAAAAAGGGGATCTCCGACTTCTTCTTCGACCGCAAGAGTAGGCCGCGGAAACCAAGCCCCCAACGTCTCTCCTTCTCCTACGCTCCAACATTCAAGTCTCCAATGGGCAAAAATTCAACGATAAAAAGCTCTGTCTTGCTATAAATTGGTGATGGGTTAAAGCTTCAAAAGAGGTTACGGGGAATAACGGCGAGAATAAAGCAGCGGCGGCTTGGCTGCTGCTATGGTGGCGACCGGTCGACAAGTCCGACGACGATGGTGGTCGGCGGCGGCGACTGGCGGCGGCAGCCCCGGTGGGCAGTCTCCTTCAAGCTCCAATTCTTCAATTTTCATCATCTTCTTCAATAAATTTGGGAACCCTTATTGGTCAATTTCTTTTTCTTCTCCAATTCTTTGTAAAGTATAGATCATAAACAAATATCAGAATTCTAAAATAACAGAAATCTCGAGAAGCAATTTGATAGAGGAAAACCCAACAATTCTTTAGCAGATTTGTCAAAATGTAAGCAAACATAGATTCAGTTTCTTTACTTTATCAACAATAACTCAGCAATTTTGCTTTGAAAACTAAGTACTATAAACATACCTATTTTAAACCATTACTGAGGAACATCAAATGCAATTCAACCTGGACACAACGTAAACAACCAACACCGATCATCAAAACCCATGGAAACAAAGCACATAGCGAAATACGTATAAATTCTAAGACTTTGGAATGCCTGAAGAATAAAACAAGCAAGAACAAAACAAGAAGCTCCGTACCTTTTTTGTTTTGATTCGCACACACCTCCTTCCCGTTAAAAACCCTAGTTCCCAATGTCTGCGCCTCCTCTGCTGTATCCTTGAAGAAGAGTACGAAGAAGAGGACTTGAAGAAGAGGATTGAGGGTTACATTTGGAATTTCAAATGCTATTAATAAGGAAGGTAGCGGAGAGGTTGTAATTAACAGTGGCTTTGACAGAATGTACCCCTCAATTAATTACTGGATAACTACAGGGACCTCATAGTACATTTCTAAAATTAATGGGACCTGGCAATTCTATTCACAAAATAGAAAGTACCTAGGAGTAATTGTTTATTTTTAATACTCATTAATCATCGTATTTCTAATGATACAATTAGCCTAATTGTAAATAATCACTCCGTAAAAATTAAGGCTTTTTGTTTTTCGTCCCATTTTTTATATTTAGATGAACTTTAAATTAAAATTTATACTCCAACTATTCATATTTAATTGTTCGGTTCACTTTTCAAACTTAAAATTTGCATTAACAATATCTCTTAAAATATATTAGAAAAAATATTTAAAACAATACGTTTCAGACATTTTCAATATCAATAATTTGGTATAGTTTTATACTTTTATTCATTGTATATTTTTTATATACAGTTAGTGAAATTGGTTTACATATTAATGTCTGAAAATTTTCTAATCTCAAAATTAAATATTATCTTTTTCTTTATACGCATAATAAAGCATATTATGGAGTATAATATAAGTTACAATTTATACATTACCATAATGGTACCAGAAATATTATCATTTATATATTATTAATTTATGTTAAGAAAATAAGAAATATTATGTTGACTTTAATATTTCCTCTTTTCAAATATACATGTAATAATAAAATATATTATTATATTACCATAAAGTGCACACTTGTCATTAGACTTGGCAATCGGGTCAATCGGTTCAGTTCCGGTTCGGGTCTCTTTCGGATATATATTATAATCGGTTCGCGTCGGTTCGGTTCTGAGTTTATTTCGGTTTGACTGGTTTTTGGTTTCGGTTCGGTTTCGTTTCGGGTTTATATCGGATCTGGTTTATATCGGTTCGGGTTTGTATCGGTTCGGGTTTATATCGATTCGGGTTTGTATTGGTTTAGGTTTATATTATTTCATGTATGTTTTTAATATATACTAATAAATTAATAATATCGCATAATAAATTTAGTCAATGTATGATATACTTTGTAGTTATTTTATTATTTATCACGGACGTACATAAAAAATAACACTTACATAATGGACTAATTGTTACATTCTAAAGGTTTCCCTCCTAAAGTTTTCGGTGCGACCTTTTAAGTTAACATTCTACTTCGTACTTCCTCTATTTCTATTTAACTGTCCATTTTGCTTTGTGTGTCAAATATTTGAATAACTATATATAAAAATATATAATGAATTAAAATATACAGAGTTAAAGTTATTACCAAATTGTTGGTATTAAAAAAACACTTTAAATGTATTATTTTTAATATTTTTTGCTAATATATTTGAAGAGACGATGTTGGTCAAATTTTAAGTTCGAAGACGATAAAATACAAAAATACTTTAACTTAAGTTATAAAATACGGAGTAAAAGA